GATTAGTATTGCCATAATGCAACCCTGCTGCGAGGTTGCAAAATGTAGACGCGTAAAAAACATACCTTTGAGTGTGACAAAATGTAGACGGCGTCGTTTTCCAATTTTGTATGGGAAACAACAACACCACAGATTTTACGGTTAGAAAACGTCTTAAAATGTAGACGTCTACATTTTGAGACACTATTTGGAACGAACTGTGAACACCCCAATAAAGAAACAAGTAAGAAAGTCTAAGTTCGGGCGGAGCCGAACATTAAATACCCGGCGCAAGTATTAAATATATGTTTTTCACCTTTCCGAAAGCTACCACTAAATGGTAAGCCGGGGTCATCAATTTTGAGTAAATTAGCGTCCTTAAATTTCGAAATATTAATGTTTGAAGCATTTCTGAGATTTGCCGTTATATGAAAAGCGGCCGTAATTTTAGTCTGATTTGAATAATTTTCAACGCTTTGCTTTTATGTGGCAAGCAAAATAACTATACCGAGTTTGGTACAAATTGGTAGAACGGTTACCAAGATACATATATGTGATCATAAGTGGGCGGTGGCACGCCCATTTTCCAAAATCGTATCATAAACGTATTTCTGGGCAAAGAATTGTTGCAAGCATCAATTTTTAATAAATTAGCTTTGATTTATCGTAGATTTTGTATTTCTCTAAATTACCGTTACATGGGATGTGGGCGTAGTTATTGTCCGATTTTTAAAATTTGCTGTATGCTGTACCAAGGCCTCCAACTGTGCCAAATTTGGAAGAAATTGGTGCAGCGGTTACTAGGATATACACATGTAACCATAAGTGTTCGTGGCTACGTTATATGTGAAGTGGGCGTGGTTACAGTCCGATTTCGGCCATTTTCAATACCAACTTACCTTGGGTAAATGGAGACCTACATACCAAATTTCGTTGACGGATGGACAGACGGACGGACAGACAGACATGGCTTAATCGACCTCTCTATTCATTCTGAGCATTTATGTATACATTTGTCTATATCTATCTCCATTCGTTTTGGCTGTTACAAACAACCGTTACGTGAACGAAGGTAAAATACCCTTGTGCACAAGTGCGCTCGGGTATAAAATATGCAAACAATTTTGTAGCTCATGTTCGCGCTAATCAATTATTAATTTTGTACGTGTTTTTGCAACCAATCACCGCGCACTTCATTTTAATTACATTTGCACATAAAACTTATTGAAAATCGCTTAAAAATCACTGAAATAAACCACCGACAAAATACACATAAAGAAAGAAGCAAAACAGAAATAGGAAACTTAAAAATTACGAACGTCACACACTTTTTTCGCAGTTGCTATTACAAATGGCTGCTTCTCAACCAGTCCGATCTGTTCTAATTGGTTCATGATATAACCCCGTTCGATATGCGGTATGAAATACCATGGTAGTATATGTGAGCCAGAGTGTCCAGATTTGGCGATTTCGCGCCAATTTGGCCATCTTTTTTGTTATTTGCGCGTAAAAATTATGAAATCGCCATTGGCGATTTTTGCGATTTTTCCCCTTCAAATAAATTTTTTGTAATTATAAAAATATAAAAAACTTAGTTTTCCACGATAATTTTACAGGAGAGGATAATGAACTGCCTGATAAACTTGACTTAAGAAGCATATTAAAAAACGGTCAACAATTTTTTTAATCACCGTAATCCAAGAACTTCTGAAACGATTACCTAGTCAATTAAATACTTTTAAAAAAGCTTTGATTTTATTACCAGAAACAGAATTCAATACTGAATGAGCTTCCAGATGAATGAAACACTTTGCTAAGGGCCGGTTACTCAATGTCTGGTTAACACTAATCTCTGGTTAAACATCGTTATCGACGTTACCGACTCCCTATTGTATGCATGGAGTCGAAGAGGTCGACAACGATGTTTAACCGCAGATTAGTGTTAACCAGACATTGAGTAACCGGCCCTAATTCAGTTCCAATCAAATTGTATACACTCAGTTTAGATCGGGTACCGTAGACAGAGAACGTCTATGAATGAGAAGGCGCATTTTCTCTGTGAACTAATTTCTGCCAGAAATTTTGGGGTGCAGTCGGCCAAATACACCACACTGCCAAAAAAACTACGAACATGCATATAAATGTACATATGTACAAATCACGGCAGCATACATACATATATATGCACATAATTACACGTATTCTCAAATACAACAATAACTATTTCATTCATAAACGCATTTGCATATTTCTCAAGGCCAAGTAAATTCATTCATAAAAACAACCGCAGCACACCTCCCCGCAAATTCATCACCAACAAGCGCAACTTTGTCAATCCGACACAAAAATTCTAAAATCTTAAAATGAAGAAATCTCGGCCAGCCAAGTGAAAAGTGGCAATTATTTCTCTATAACCAGTAAAATAAGTTATCTCGAATCTTGGCAATTTTTGGTAATTTTTGACAAAACACTCTATTTCTCTGTTCCATACCAATATTTCAATCATTAACTAGTATTTTAAAGTGTCATTTTAATAAACATTAAATAAAAGTGTACGTTTTCTGCAGGAAAATACATTCGCGAAAAAATTGCCAAAAATCAACGCGGTTTTCTGGCAACTTCAAGCTTGCCTATGTTATACTAAAATATAATGGGATTTAAAACTGCATACTTAGAATTTTTCTCAAAAATCTGATTTGAAAGTAGATCTTCATACTAACTGTATTTAAAAAAAATAATGTGCGAAAAGAAATTCAAGTAAA